TTCTTCTTCTTCTTCTTCTTCTTCTTCTTCTTCTTCTTCTTCTTCTTTCTTCTTTCTTCTTTCTTCTTTCTTCTTTTTTTGACTACTACTGAATCAGGAAGACCTCTCTTAAGGGAGCTGCAGCAACATGCTGCCAGCAAGCAGAACCCTTCTGAAAAAAATTGCAGCTAAACTTTGTTTTTAGTGTCTAGAATTCCTTTCTAAGCCCTCTCAGGTTTTATGTGAATTTAGCTAGCCCACGTTGGAGCGCCATTTTGTTGTAGGGAGACTGTTTGTTTATTTCCCAACTGCCTGACAGCTCAGACCTGAAATAACCACACAGAAACTGTATTAATTAAATCGCTGCTTAGTCCATCAGCTCTAGCTTCTTATTGTCTAACTCTTAGATATTAATTTAACCCATCTCCATTAATCTGTGTATCACTACAAGGCTGTGGCTTACTGGCTAATGTTCTGGTGTCTGTCTCTGGCAGGGCTACGTGGCCTCTCTCTGAATCCACCTTCTTTTTCCCAGTTTACTTTTCCCCGCCTAGCTAAGTTTTGCCCTGCTATAGGCCAAAGCAGTTTCTTTATTCATTAACCAATAAAAGCAACACATAGACAGAAGGATCTCCCACACCAATCCTGCCCCAGCCTCTTGAGTATCCATAAATACAGACTAATTTTGCTTTTAAGTATAAAACTATTAAGTTAAAAAAGTCCGTAAATTTAGAATTCTATCAGAAAAAAATCATTACAAAGAAAATAAAAAGTTAGTACATTTCCTTTAAAATTCTGTGGGTTCAGGAATAGAAATTTACTTTAACTATGTTATGGATGATTTCTTTTTGTATCATTTGTCTTCTTTTTTTTAAAAAAAAAAAAGACTGCAAAGGCTGGGTGGCACACGCCTTTAATCCCAGCACTCGGGAGGCAGAGGCAGATGAATCTCTGTCAGTTCGAGGCCAGCCTGGACTACAGAGAAATTGCCAGGATAGGCTCCAAAGCTACAGAGAAACCCTGTCTCGAAAAGCCAAAAAACCACAAAGTAGCTATCATTTCAATGTAGGTTTAAATTAGACCACCAAAGTATTTATGTTCACATTTTCCAGACTAACTAAAATATTAGGTGATAGAAATTATGGACAGATTATTTCTCCTACAACTAAGCTATGCAGAAGTAAAGGAATATTCAGCTTAATGTGGTGAATTTTTGTTTCCTTGAAGCATGGTGCTTTACAGTCTTAATATAGTTATGCAATGGGCAAATGCATTTAACAGGAAACATTTATCTGAAGAGAAACAAAAATAGTGTTCTAAATAGTCATAAATACAATTAAATTATGGGTTCTTTTTTCTTTTTCTTTTCCTTTTCCTTTTTTTTGAGAACTTCCTTCATGTGCTTTATCTGTATCACTCCCACACCTCCCTTCCCTCTTGCTCTTCCTGTGCTCCCCCTCGTAAAGCCATGGTCTCTTAATTATTATTGTTGCCTATATATGATATAACTCTGTAAGAGGGACCTCGGTGGTTAGCATCCAGGCGAATCTGGCCCTGCCCCTTGAGGACCTAACAGTGTCACCTCTACGTTCATAGCAGACAGTATCCTGTCTCTCCTCTCTGCTATTCCTTTTCCCAGAAACCAGTCACCCCTATGCCTTCCCCTTTTTCTCTTAGTAAAACTTACCCTGTAAGCTCTGTCTGCCTGATCTGTCTCTCACTTGTGCCCAGAGGGATCTTGGTAAGTGAGAGCCCAGGCAGTGGGTGAGAGACAGACAGGTCTTGCAGATAAAGCTTAAGTGAGGAGTCTTATTGAGATAAAGGGAGGGGGAAGAGGGTGGCAGAGAGGCAAAGACCTACTTGCAGGAATGGACAGAACTTGTCTCTTAAAGGAATCTTTTGCACCTGTGTACAAACTTTGTAATGAAGTTACATAGGACCCTGGGCTGTCCAGGGTACTGCCTGAGTACATCCTGCCAGGTGACAGGTCAGCATAATGACTGAATCCTAGCAATATATGCAATCTACTGAGTCCATTTAATTCTGCTTATATGCACATGTGTCCAGGACTGACCATTTGGGATTGGACATCCTATACAAAATGTACCCCTGGAGGAAATTAATTCTTCTCTCAACAGGTATTGACCACTTGCAGCTTTTTATCTATGAATGGGACCTATGATATTTTTACTCTCTATATTGGCACATCAGCTTGTGTTGCAGTTATGGTCTTGTTCAGGCAGCCATATTGTTGAGCTAGTGGTAGTGCACACCTTTAATCCAGGATCTGGGAAGCAGAGGCAGAGGCAGACAGATCTTTGTGAGTTCTGAGACAGCCTTGTTTACAGAGTGAGTTCCACGACAATCAAGGCTATACACAGAGGAACCCTGTCTCAAACCAATGAAGAAAAAAAATATTGAGACTTCATGGGGGCATTTTTACTGTCATGCCTAGAGGACAGTGTGTAGCCATGAAGTCTGAGCCTCTGACTCTTAGTCTTTCTGCTCACCTGTCCTGTGTTTTTCCCCCAAACTTGAGGTATAGTGATTGCTTTGTAGATATATAAAAATTGAACACCCAACAGCTCCTGATCTGCATTTTGATCAGTTGTGGGTTTCTGAAAAAGTCTAGTCTTTTGGAAAAAGAAGCTTCTCTAATGAGACACATGAGATGCACTAATCTATGGGTATGAAGGCAAGTATTTCGAAATGATTTTGGTTCAGGAAAACTACAGCAGTACTTCTCCTTGGTCTATGACCCCTCCAGGTATGGGTAGCTCTTGCTGTGTATCCTATGTTGGCCTGAAACCTACTTTGTAACCTTCAAGCTCCCAATCCTATCTCAGCTGCCTGAGAGCAGAAATTACAGCTATACCAAGGCAGCCAAATTTTTGAATATTTGAAAAGAGATGGTAACTTAGAGCAGTGGACAACATTTTCCAGTATTTGTTTCTCAAAATATTTAAGTTTTTGGTGTTATAGAAATTATCTTGAAATAAGCATATTTTAATGTTTTGTACTTTATAAGTTTATAAACATTGCATATTAAAACTAACAAGTGCAATTTTTTACGTTGTGTAATCTAATTTTATCACAGGTTTCGTCTTGATATCTATAGATGTCTGGCCAGCCCAGCTCTAATAATGTTAACAGAGGAGGATCCAATCCTGAGAGCATTTGAACTTAGTGCTGACTTAAAAGAACTCAGCCTTGTGGAGGTGGAATTCAGGTGGGGAGGAATGGATGTTGTTATGTCTCTTGTTGTAGAATCTTCTGCTTCAGTCTGTTTATAGGCTGCATGATAATTTGCATTCATTTACAGTTAATCTAAGATGAGTAATGTTGTTGCCATTTGGAATTTTCTTTCTCTGTCAAAGTAACATGTTGGTGCTGATTAGTTGACTCCTCTGTCCTTTGCCCTTCTGTAACCACTTAGTCCCCAGACAAACCTTGCAATCCTCCTATGGTGAGTATTTCTAGTACCCTCTTACCAGCTCCTATTTCCAAAGTGCCAACAGGCACTGTACACGAACCCACTTCCCTGTCACAGTTGCCTATGTGGCCCCATCCTGAAAAGTCAACAAAGTTTGTTCACACTTACGGAGCAGGATCAGAAAGCACAGGTTTTTTAGCCTTAATAATAGCATTCATAGTGTGTTCCTGAAAGTTCTGAGTCCAGAGACTTATGAAAGACTACATGTAAGTTTTCATGTAGAAAGTTTACTATTCTTTAAATACATTGCACTTAAAAAAACTATCTATATCTTATAAAAAAACATCTATATACTTTGGTGAACTCATAAAACGAGGATAGGGTGTGGCAGCACACACCTTTAATCCCATCTCTTTGGAGGCAGAGCTCACTCTTGAGAGTTCTGAGGCCAGCCTTGTCTAGCTAGTGATTCCAGGCAGCCAGGGCTACAAAGTGAGACCTTGTCTTTAAAAACAAAAACGAAACAAAACAAAATCGGACAAAATCATCATGAAGTTATATTTAAGGAACAATATCTTTGCTCATCACTATACAGCCACTTAATTGTCCTGTAATCTATTAGAGATTAAACAGTTTAATTATATATTTTGTTCTAGTAGTCTATAAGTATTCATTTAAAAATGAAATGTCTTTGCAATAACACCTTTGATGCATGTTTCCATCTGCATTTATATTCCTAAACCAAAAGGCATGTAATATAATAAATACTTCATTTGCTGAAGAACTAACTGTTGAACAACTAATTGTTCACAGGTTATGGAGTAATGCAAAGAATGATAAAAATGTTGCCTCTAAGGAAAAGTTGTGAGTTTTAAGTCTAGCTACATATTAGCCAGTTCACAGGAATTTTTGCCATGTGCAAAGACTAAGCAGCCTTCCTGTTCACCTTGCTTCTTACATGAGGGGAAAAGCTAAATAAAATTATTTTCTAAAGTCCAGCCTCTGATTCATGACATAGTTGTTTGTAATATGCTTATTTTTGTTTAGCTGAGTTATAAATTTAATGTAATTGATATTTAATAAATAATTATGTACTAAAACGTCTTCATTTCTCATAAATTATGTTAAGTACAGTTTTTATAAGTAAGTCAAAGACAGCGGTAAGGTTTGGAAACTAGCACTTCTGAAGAGAGTTCCTTGGGATATGCCATTGTGAATTTCACTCAAGTGAGCACCTTAAATGAGTCACAATACTTAATCAGTATTAGAAGTAATGTGCACATTGTGGATTATTGAAGTGACTGTAGGTAAAAATCATCTAATAATATCAAAAATATTGTTTATATGAATAATGTCAAGGGAAATTTTAGCCATCTTAAAGAGAAGGAGAGAAGTGAGTTAGGTGAAAAATTGACCAAGTTTTATAAGCATTTCTCAGGGTATCAATATAGTAAGTATACTGTGTTCATCTGAGATCTTCAGTGTGGGCACAGGAAGCATATTCCCCACAGCTGTGGAGAATCTCTGCCCTGATATATCAGCTCCTGTGACTGTCAGCAGGAAACGAGCAGATCTGTGGCCCTGTCAGAATTTAAAGATTACTGAGTAAAGTAATTCCTAGTGGTGTAATCCCATTGGGCAGTGGGAATGACATTCCTAATAGCAGACTATGCATTTTATAGGAATGATTATGAAGAGCTAGCCCGTCAGTGCAAAATGTTTGCTAAAGATTTGCTTGCACAAGCCCGGAATTCACGTGAACTGGAAGTTATCCTAAACCATACATCTAGTGATGAGCCTCTTGACAAACGGGGACTACTAGAAGAAAGAATGAATTTAAGTCGTCTAAAACTTGCTATCAAATATAACCAAAAGGAGGTATGAAGCTTTCTGTGGTATATCTAAATTATTTTCTTTACCTTTATTTTATTTATTGTTTGTTTCTCAAATAAAATAAAGAAGTTGTAACAGTATAGAACACATTCATAACTCAACAATGTATATACAACTTGAAGGAAGGGCCATGCTGGCATTTGAAAATAGAAGTAGATCCTGTTTGTAGGGTGGTCCCTCAGAACTCTGGGGACTGACCATTACCCAGGACCATGAATAGCATGGTCTCAGATGAGTGCTCAGATGGGTGAGTCCACAAAAAGTGGAGCTCCTGAGAACTCAAAACTGAAACCTGGGAAAAGCATGGTAATTACAGCTGGCAGTGAGGCCATGGGCCAAGAAGCAGCTAAGGGCTGACTGGTGTGTTTTTGTGTGTCTGTGTTTCTTGAGCTTTTTACAACTTGGTGGCTTTGTGGTGGAGGACTTTTTTATAGGACAACTCCTAATTCTAAAAGTCAGGGTTGTTGGTTTTTTTTTTTTTTTTGTAAAGATTTTTGTTTTGTTTTTCTTTTCTTTCCTTCCTTTTTTTTTTTTAAAAAAAGATTTATTTATTTATTATGTATACAGTGTTCTGTCTGCATGTCTGCCTGCAGGTCAAAAGGGGGCACCAGATCTTATTACAGATGGTTATGAGCCACCATGTGATTTCTGGGAATTGAACTTAGGACCTCTGCAAAAACAGCCAGTGCTCTTAACTTCTAAGCCATCTCTTCAGCCCCTAAAAGTCAGTATTTATATGAAGAAGGTGAAAGAAGCCTTTCAGAGGTCATATTATGTCCCGTCTGCTAGAATGTAGTCTCTTTTGCTGGCTATAGTAATCACAGGTTACTGAATTAAAGGATAGATGGTAACAGTGATTTCCTCCTCTCTCCACCTCTTGATGACAGGAATATTAGAGAATCTTTGTCCATGCCTGAAGCCACTGTAGACTTAGCACATTTGTAGTTGAAATTTTGTTATTCTAGATACTGTTGGGCCATAAAGCCCCACTGAGGAGGAGGTCGCCCCAAGAGACACTCTCAGCACAGTTGATGCAATAGCAAGAGGAATTTTTATTCTGCCACAGCAGAAATCCCTCAGTCTCGAGAGGAGAAGGACCCCTGCTTTGTCTATTACAGGTTCTTTTAAAGGAAAAAATCACAGAATCAGGGAGGGGGTGGTACAGAATCAAAGGGAAAGTCCAGAAATCATTTGTCAACTATTTTGACTAGTTCATTCAACGGTCAGCTAACTCTAATTGATCAATGCTATGGCGATTACAAGCAGGAACACCTGTAGGTCGTCTCACCCCAGTTCCAGGGTCTGGGTCTGTAGAAGAAAAACTACAGTAGTAAAGACTACTACTACTCAAAGCCCCAGTGCACACGTGGTTGGTTACCTGGGTCCTGGTTCCCAGGGAGGGGAGTGCAGGGGGGTGCAGTAGTGCTAAGGCGCCCGGTTCCCAGGAAGTGGGGGGTGTGGTAGTGCTAAGGTGCCCCAAAGTCTTTCAATACTACTTAATATAATTTCTAATTAAGGGATGTTGTATAGTGTTAGGGTTGAGTTGTTGTTTTTTTTTTTTTTTTTTTTTTATATTTACGGAAAGGTGACATCCCCTAAGTTCTGGCTGCTGCTAAAAGTCGTTTGGGAAGAAAGACTTTCATTACCAGGTATCTCACTGGAATCAAACAGAAAAAATGGGGAATGAAGTAAGGGAGTGCAGGGATGGCTGAGTGGTTAGGAACATAGCCTGGCGGACCTAGGTTCATCTTCCAGCACCCAAATGGCTGCTTACAATTGTCTATAGCTCCAGTTTCAGGGTGTCCAATGCTCTCTTCTGGTCTCTGTGGACACCAAGTACACACTGGTACATAGACATACATGCAAGCAAAGTGTTCATACACATAAAAAATTAAAGAATGACATAAATCATTGCTAAAATGAGTATAGTTATATTAGAAAAATTCTTGATAAGCATGATAGGATGCTGTGCAGTTGTTTTTGCAGACTAAAATTCTGTGAATTAGATTCTTGAACTATCAAGATAAATCTTTGTTTGTTTTTGCTTTTCAAGACAGGGTTTTTCTGTACATCCCTGACTGTCCTTGAACTTGCTCTGTAGACCAAGCTGACCTTGAAATTCAGAGATTCACCTGCCTCTGTCTCCTGAGTGCTGGAATTAAAGACGTGTACCACCAAAATCTTTTAAAAATATAATATTCACAAAATGCTATTTTACATTACTTGAATAATATGATTATACTTTAGTAATATGAAATCTTATTACAGTATATTAGAAAATATTGCCATTTAAATTTGTAAGCTAAGAAACTCTGTGTAACTTGTACAAATTCTGTACTTGAACTAGCGTTTTGCTCTTATTTGAGATTTTCTTTTCATGTGAAATTCACCATTAGCCAAGTTTAAGAGTATCTTATTTTTTGAGGGGCTGGAGTAGTGGCTCAGTGATTTAGAGCACTTGTTGCTGAGGACCCTGGTTCAATTCCCAGAACCCACATGGTGGCTCACAAACATCTGATGCATTGTTCTTACCTCTGTGAATACCATGCATATAATAGTTTACATACATATGTGTAGATAAAACATGCATACACATAAATAAAGCTTAAAAATAATTTTTAAGAGAGTATTTTTAGTGGCTCAGGCCTGTAATCCCAGCTGCTGAGGCAGGAAGATCACAAGTCAACAGCCAGCCTGGTCTGAGGACGCAGCTGCAGCTTGTCTACCCCGTGCAAGGCCTAGCTTCAGCCCTCAGCACTACAGTCCGTGCCTCTGATGTGGTTTAAGTTCCTCTCAGGACTTTCATGAAGTGTGCAGAGATCTAATACATGGATCACTTTTTGTCATGACATCTGAGTTTCTCACAACCCAGAAGCTAAAGCCAGCACTTTCTCAAAGATTAGTTAGTGCTGTCTCTATGAAATGCATATTAACATATACATACTGTTTGTCTTTGTACTGGTTTATAAAGGCTCTTGATAGTCTTTAAATGTGATCAGCTCAATGCAGTAGGTTGCTAATATTTTTGATCCCTAAAATGGCATTGCGCTGTGAATAAGGTTACTAAGAATTTGATGCTTAACCTTCACTAGTTTATGAGGAGCCACTATTGCCATCCAGATCTTAGAGATGAGGACGGGGAAGCTTAGAGAGGTTGAAAACTTATTCATGGTTATCTAGTCTGTGCTAGAGTCTGGATTCGAACTGTGTAATCAGGCTCCATAGTCTATGCTCTGAGCCTCCACACTCTTAGTTATAAAAGGAAAAAGACATATTATAGTATGTAAGGTATTTTCATCTAATGTTAAGACTGAATATCATCCAGTTACTATTTAAAGGTTTTATTTCCCTTTTTTGTTTTTTTGATTCTGTATGTCCTTTCCAGTTTGTCTCCCAGTCAAATTGCCAGCAGTTCCTGAACACCGTTTGGTTTGGACAGATGTCAGGTTACCGCCGTAAGCCCACCTGTAAGAAGATAATGACTGTTTTGACAGTTGGCATCTTCTGGCCAGTTTTGTCTCTATGTTATTTGATAGCTCCCAAATCTCAATTTGGCAGAATCATTCACACACCTTTTATGAAATTTATTATTCATGGAGCATCATATTTTACATTCTTGCTGTTATTAAATCTGTACTCACTTGTCTACAATGAAGACAAGAAAAATACAATGGGGCCAGCCCTTGAGAGAATAGACTACCTTCTCATACTGTGGATTATTGGTGAGTGTCAAGTGACTTTGAAAGATTTGCCTTTGTTATTTAATATTCCTTGCTTGGTGACATTATGAACATGGAGTTCAATTTGCAATTTTGTCTTTTGTCACAGATAAAATATGAACATTTATTTCATGATCATTTATCTAATGCTTTTTTATTTTAAAGACAGGGTTTCTCTGTAGCTTTAGAGCCTGTCCTGGAACTAGCTCTTGTAGACCAGGCTGGCCTCAAACTCACAGAGATCTGCCTGCCTCTGCCTGCTGAGTGCTGAGATTAAAGGTGTGTGCCATCACCATCCAGTTTATCTCATACTTTTATAAAGGTTAATGTTCCTGATTTTATAACTTTGTATTACTTAAATACATGAAATTTAAAACTATTTGGATTTGTTTACCTTCCTGCTTAAGAAGCTTCTCTACTGGGTGGAATTTTTCAATCTCATCTTACACAGTAGTGTACATGTGTAAATACAGGCTAGCAATAAACCTCGAGTGTTATTTCTTCGGAATATCCACCTTATTTCTCACTGAGGGTTGGGACTTGGTGATTAGACCATGGTGGCTGGTCAACAGGCCCTCGTGATCCTCCTGTTTCTGCTGTTGGTATTACATGTGTATGCTGCCACACCTGGCTTTGTGTGTGTGCATGTGTATGAGTGCTAGGACTCTAACTCAAACCATCATGCTTACACATAACTGAGCTTTGCAGCTTATAGGTTAAAAATTTATTTTTAAAAATTGTATTTATGTGTACATGTATGCATGTAGATGCACAGGTGCTAAAAGTCAAAGTTGGATGAATGTATTGCTCATTTGTTCTCCACCTTGTTTTTTGAGACAAGTCGCTCACAGAACCTGGATTTCACCAATGTGGACAGGCTAGCTGGTTCTAGGGATTTGCCTGTCTCGGCCTCCACAGCACTAGGGTTACTGATGTACGCTGATGCACTTGGCTTTTTATGTCCGTGCTGGTGATCTGAACTTACTTCCCCAATCTTGCATGGCAAGCAGTTTGTCAACTGATCCATCTCCTTAGCCCTAAAAATCATTTATTCTTGGGCTATGTTGTTAATGATTATTAAGCAGAAAGTATAATGTTTTATGTGTGAATGCTCTTTTGTATATATATATGGCATATATTATTTTAGGTATCTTAAAACTTAAATTTCAGGCTTTCAGACATCTTAACTATTTTGTTTCATTTTATCAGTGGTTTTATTACTAAGAATTTACCAAGTTTTGTAGTTATAACTCACTTTATATTATAAAGATGCTATTTGCATTGAGATTTAAAGCGTTCCCTTGTGGCTCACTCTGTAGGTCAGTTCTTTGTCATGGAAATATAAGCTCTGAAGAAATGATAGGAGTTAGCCCGGCATGGTGCATGCCTTTAATCCCATCACTTGGGAGGCAGAGGCAGGCAGATCCCATGAGTTCGAGGCCAGCCTGGTCTACAAAGTGAGTTGCAGAGCAATCTCTAAAAGCAGCAGAGAAAGCCTGTCTTGAAAAACAAAAACAAACAAACAAAAACAAAACAAGGAAATGATAAGAAGTTGAAATAATAAAATATTTTTATTTTCTAAAAAACATTGTATGAGTCTTACATGTATAATAAATGTTTACATGACATTCTTCAGGGATTACTGTCCTGGACCTTGTTTTGGTGGAAAAGTAAGGGATTGTGTAGAATCTCATTGCTTATTTATGGTCTTTTAGAGAATTCCTTTATTTTCTTTTTTTCTTTCAAATTTTAAAAGCTTTTCACTAAAAGGCTCTTTTTTCACCTCCTGCACCCCCCAACTCAAATGCCTTTGTAATACAGCTATAGTTAACCCAAGTGCTATAAACACTTGTCTCTTTAAGTATTATTTAGTTTGTTATTGAATTAATAAATCTGCTGTCTTACTGTTTTAGGGATGATCTGGTCGGACATTAAGAGACTCTGGTATGAAGGGCTAGAAGACTTTTTAGAAGAGTCGCGTAATCAGCTCAGCTTTGTCATGAATTCCCTCTACTTGGCAACCTTTGCCCTCAAAGTGGTGGCTCACAATAAGGTGACTGTTCACTTGTTATCAAAGATACAAACATTTATTTAAAGGACTAATATACTTAGCTATGTAACTCAGAGTTACTAGAAACTCAAATCTGTCTGTTGTGTTTTCATTTTAAAGTAATCTGTGTGGATCTAGTTGCTTACTTTTTCAGTAGTTTGAGTGGTTTACCTTTTCAGTGGTGGTTACCTGCCATATGTTGGGTCCCATGGTTGGTGTTAGATGTACTACATTTAATTTAATCCTCACAATTGATGGTTACCTACTATATGCTAGATAGATTCTGTGGTCGATGTTAGATATACTGTATCTAATTACATTTTCACAGGAATTTTTTAAGATTCTCCTTTTCCTCATTTTGCAAATAGGAAAATGACTTAGAGATATTAGGCAACATACCTAAGATTATGGTGTTTTTTAAAAGGTGATTTAAATACAGATGCCAGGTATTTGCTTTCTACCATCTTATTTCTTTATTTAGCTCATTTACCATATATACTTAAGACCTCTTCTAATTTTACGCTCATCAATATTTATGGTTTCTCAGAGCCAGAAAATGTAATAAGCTCTATGTTAGCTATGGGGTGTCACATTTAAGGGACTAAGATATATAACATTTCATAATTTTATTTTTGCTATTTATAGATTATAAAAAGAACAAAGTGATTCTTATCGGTTTATTTAACATTTGTTTCCTAACATGTTGGTCAGAGAGAGATTCAATGACTGAAGTGAAAAGTTACTAAAAAAAAAATCAAAATTGGTCATATGTAAATGAATGGCCTGATAGTTGGGTCACATTGGTTTTTCAGACTAAGTTCTTTAGTTTTAGAAGTAGTTTTCTAATCCAAACAGGACACATTGAGAGTGGAAGGATGTGTGGCTAACAGTCCCACAGAACAGCTGGGATGGGGAGATGCCCCATGTCTAGCTACAATAATGCATTTTTCTACTTGAAAGAGGAGCAACTTTTGTGTTTTGCTCTAAATTCCTAGGTCAGATGTCTAGGTTTAGTATGGCATCTGATGAGTTGACAGCATACATTCTCACAATTTGTGTTTTAGAATTTAAGGAAACCCGCCAGTATTTCACTCAAAAGTGTAATAATAATAAGTGTTTTTTGTTTTATTTTGCTTTTTAAAAAGATTTATTTATTTTATGTGCTTTATCTGCAGTGTGCCTTTTTGCCAGAAGAGGGCATTAGATCCCACTATATATGATTGTGAGCCACCATGTGGTTGCTGGAAATTGAATTCAGGACCTCTGGAAGAGCAGCCAGCGCTCTTAACCACTGAGATATATGTCTCTAGCCCCTAATGATAAGTTTTATAACTTGTTTTTTTTTTAAACCAAAGAATTTCTGGTAAATTTCTGCATATAAAGTGCTATTTCCTAGTATACGTGGAAAGCTTTTGTTTGGCTAAAACATTATTTAAGTCTCCCACAAGAAGACAATTATGATAGTTTTCTTTCAGACATTTCATATGTCTTTTCATTTTGCTGACTGACTTTGGCTTCTCTTTCTGCCTCCAGTTTCATGACTTTGCTGACCGGAAAGACTGGGATGCATTCCACCCTACACTTGTAGCAGAAGGGCTTTTTGCATTTGCAAACGTTTTGAGTTACCTTCGGCTCTTTTTTATGTATACAACCAGCTCGATTTTGGGTCCACTGCAGGTAAATAAAGGTCTTAAATAATGTTTGTTACATGTTACTACTATTGTATCTGATTATTCACTTCATCACTGTTCTCATGATGTTAAAACTATGCTTGGGATTTGAAAATGACTAGCAAGTACTTTACTTCTAGCTCATAAATAATTTTCTTTTAAGAATTGAAACTTTATCAAGCTGTGGTCCAATGACCTTTGGTTCAATCAAACTGTGGTCCTTCCTTCATTTTCTGGCCATAAATATGCTTAAAATAATTGTTATGCTTCACAGAAAGGAGTAACCTATTGGGTGATGATGACACACATGTTTAATCTCAGCAGTCAGAGAGGCAGGGGCAGGCAGATCTCTCTGAGTTCAAGGCCAGCCTGGTCTACAAAGTGGGTTCCAGGACAGCTAGGGTTGTTACACAAAGAAACCCTGTCTCAACCCCCCCCCCAAAAGGAGTAACAAAAAAGTCTGGTTTTTTTTTTTTTTTTTACCAAAATTAAAGTTCATATTTTAACTTTGAAAGATAGTTGACTTTTAATAAAAAAAATACTATCTATATGATTTTAACACATAGATATGTACATGTGAAATGAATGACAATATGAACATAAAGACCAGGCTGGGAGAAATGGAAATCCACTATTGTAAGGCTTTCTTTCAACTGCATACAAAGTGATATGATATCACTAAAACTAGGCTGTGATAAGATGGGTGTCATAAACCCTAAGGCAATCTATGAAATAAAGCAGTTATAGTTAATAAACCAACAGAGGACAAGAAATGACATTTAAAATTATCAAAATAAGACAGTAAAAGAGAAACAAGGAAAAAAGTCCAGATGAATTAAAGAGGAAGAAATAACATGATAGATGTAAATAGTTCAGTTGCCGCCACAGTCCTGCCAAACACACAGTCAGGTCTGTCACGGCTGTACCCCATGGCCTAGTACCAATTTCTGTCTTAGTTAAGGTTTGTTGTTATTTGGATTTTTTTTCTCTTTCACTCTCTCTGATAAAACACCATGACCAAAAGGAACTTGTAAAGGAAACGGAATATTTAAGATTAAAGTTCTACATCAAGGTCCATCATTGAAGAAAGTCAAAGCAGGAAGTCAAGGCAGAAACTTTGGAGCAGGAACTGAAATAGAAGCCATTGGGGAGTGTTAGTTCTTGATTTGTTCCTCATTACTTGCTCAGCTTTGATGTTTTTCTGACAGTTAAGTGGCTTCACATGAATCTACTGATATTTTAATTATTGTCTGCCACCCCATAGCCCCTCAGTCAGAGCCCTGCTGGCCACTTTGGCCAAGGCCTGGTGGGGCCCTGATATGTAGGTTTAAATTAAACTCTGTTGTTCTATTTATTAATAAGACTCAGAAGTCAAAGGTTGGGGTGAAAACCTGCTAACTCAGAGAGGCTGAGTAGCAACTAGCTGACCTTGCTCTTTGGCCAGAGACATAGCAAGAGACATGTCTCTTCCCTGATTTCAAAGCCAAGAGAGCTCAAACTCTAGTCCTTGCCCCTTCCTTCCTGTGTATCTTCTTATTATCCATATTGCTGACTTCTCTATGGCCAATTCCAGTCAGCTAGTCACTGACTTGGCCCCCTGACTCAAGGGATAACTTTATTGGGCAGTCTTGGGAGTGTTAAGAATCTGATCTAAACATCCCACAACACAGCCTGCTTTCTTAGAGCGTCCAAGACCACCAGCCCAAGAGAGGCACCACCCACAGTGAGCTGGACCTTTCTACATCAATCATGAGTTAAGAAAATACCCCACGTGCCATTTTGTTGGGGGCATTTCCTCGGATGAGTTTCCTTCTTCCCAGATGACTCTATCTTGTGTCAACTTGACAGAAAACTAGCCCAGTACAACCCTGAACATGTAATTTTTATTCTAAGATTTATAGTTTCAGGCCTTATTTTTAAATTATCTTTTCCACTTTGAGTTGATTTGTGTGTGCATGTGTGTGCGTGTGTGTCTGTGTTGTAAAATTTGTATGATGTAAGATAAAGGTTCAATTTTGCTGTTTTTTTCCAACATTGTTGAAGAGACTATCATTTCCTTATTGTGTTTTCCTGGTACCCTTATTGAAGAGAAGTTTATTTATTTTTTACATTTATTTTGAAGGTCTTTATTTTGCCCCATTGGTCTAAATACCAGTCTTTACTATAGTTCAGTAATAGTTTAATTACTTTAGTTGTATAATATATGTTGAAATTGGAAAGTATACTATGCTTTGTTTTATTCTCAAGATTGTCTTTTTTGAGGTCATGCAAATTTTATAATGTCTGTATGTATATATAAGCATATTATTGGGATTTTGATTTTGTCCCAAATCTGTAAGTATTTTGGTAACATGGGAAATTTTAATAGAATTATCCTTCCAGTCATGAACATCTGTCTGTGTCTTCTTCTGTCTCTTTGTCAGTATTCTAGAGTTTTCAGTGTGTAGGTCTTCTACTTCAGGGTTAGGTCTATCCTACCTCATTTTTTTTCCATGTTGTTATAGAGGATTTACTATCATAATATTTGACCCTTTTCAGATATTGTGTTTCTAGTATATATAAATGTAACTGTTGCCTGTTCATCTTGCTTGCCGAAATGTTTCCAGATTAATTTCTGGTTCTTAGTTCTAACAGTTGTGGGGTGTTTGTCACTTTCTCTCCGCAGAGGATCATGTCGTATTCAAAGAGGCACAGTTTCACTTTTTCCAATGTGGATACTCTCCCCCCTTGTTAATTGTTTTGAGTGCAGCTTTCAGTACAGTGTAGACGGACATGTAAAGAGAAGTCTTTGACCGATCCTGATGTGAATAAAGAAGGCAGGTTTTCCACTACTGATTATGTTAGCTATGGGCTTTTGTATATGGCATTTATTGTGTTCTGGTAATTTCCTTCTGTTTTTGTTGAGAATGGGCATTTTTTGTCATAAAAAGGGAATTGAAATTCGTCATATGCTTTTCTATTTTCTTCTTTTTATTAATTTGATGATGTAATAATTAAATTATTTTTTTGTATCCCAAAGATAAATCCTAGTTGGGACATGTATGTGCTTTTTTTCGTGTACTATTGAATTTGGTTTGATAGTATTTGGGTAAAGACATTTTTTTTATAATTTTTATTACTTTTTTTTAATATTTTGGTGTATGGGTACTGTCTTAGTCAGTGTTTTATTGTTGTAAAGAGACACCATGACCAAGGCAACACTTATAAAAGAAAATATTTAATTAGGGGCTTGCTCACAGTTTCAGAGGGTTAGTCCATTATCAACATAGTGGGGGACTTGACAACACACAAGTAGACATGACCCTGGAGCTGAGAGCTTTACATTTTGATCCACAGGCAGCAGAGACAGGGAGGGAGAGCAGGGAGAAGGCTATGAGGAGGTGGAGAGGGAGAAAGACAAGGTACAGAGACAGAGAGACAGAGGCTGGGCCTGACCATGGGCTTTTGAAGGCTCAAAGCCCACTCCCGGTGACAGACCTCCAACAAGGCCATATTTTCTAATTCTTTCAAGCAGTTCCACTCGCAGTGGCTAAGCATTCAATTATATGAGACTATGGGTGCTATTTTTATTCAGATTACCATATATATACATGTTCCATGGCATGTGAGTTCTACAGACCTAACTCAAGTTGTCTGACCAGGCAGCACATGCATTTATCTGCTGAGCCATCTTACTGACCCTTATTTTGGTAAAGCATTTTATATGTTTATTGCAGGAATATTTAAGCCTATAGCATTCTTTTCTTATAGTCTTTGTCTGCAGTTGGCATCAGGGTGATATAAATGATATTTTTATCATTGGCTTTATAAAATGAATTGAAAACATTTTCCAAATTCTTCACAATAGATTTGTATTAAATTTTAGAAAACATTTCATAGTTTTAAGTAATCTGATCCTTGTTAAGAGATTTTATTATTGATTCAATTTTTACAGTGGTTATAGATCTATCCAGACTGTCTCTATCATCATGACTTCTTCTTGAGGTTGTATATTTCTAGGAATCTGTCTATTTGGACTACCCAATTTGTTGTTCATAGTAGTATCCTATGATCTCCCCCCTTGCTCTTTCTCTCTGTCATGTCTCTTACTCTTTGCCTCTGTCTCTTTCTTGCCTCTTTTCTTTCTTTTTTCAGTTAAAATTTATGTGTGTGTTCATTTGTACATACACATATGTATGTAGGTCTGAGGTAGATCTCACATGTCTCTCTTGATTGCCCTCCACCTTATTTTTTTAAAACAGAGTTTCTCAATGAAGTTGGTCCCCATTGACTGCCTGTATTGTGTGGCCAGTGAGCGCTGGAATCTGTCTATCTCCTTTTTCTTTCTTGCAAATGACCACACCTGACATTTTTGCATGGTTACTGGGGATCCTTGTGCTTGTGTAGGAGGCATATTATTGGTGACCCATATCCCCAGCCCACTTTTCTCTCTCTTAGGTATTGACGGAGGTTTCTGTCCTGCCCCATCCCACAGTCGTTCATTCCCAAAGAAACACAGAGGTCTACATTAATAATAAACTAGTTGGTCTATTAGCTCAGGCTTCTTATTAACTCTTACATCCTACATTAATCCATAATTCTTGTCTGTGTTAGCCACGTGGCTTGGTACCTTTTTCAGCAAGGCATTCTCATCTTGCTTGCTCTGTGTCTGAGTGACGACTGCAGACTGAATCTTTCCTCTTCCCAGAATTCTCCTGTTCTCATTGTCTCACCTCTACTTCCTGCCTGGTCATCCTGCCTATACTTCCTCCCTGGCTACTGGCCAATCAGCATTTTATTAAACAAGTACAAGAAGCAAATCTTTACAGGGTATAACCATTGTCCCACAGCACTTAGGGGTTTTTGCTGTTCCCTCAGACATCAAGTCCCTGGGTTCTTGTGATCCTACTGCCTCAATCTCTGGTGCCAGAGAACAGATGCGCTCCACCACACCCAGCTTTATTTCCATTGTTCTGACAGCCAAGAGTGTTTTTCCTTGGTCTGCACTAAAATTAACTCTTTTGTAAACCTCAGTATTGATAATTTAATTCCCTTTTTTGTTTCCTTACACTTTCATTTTTGTGATAATATCATATTTACAAAAGGTCATGTTGCTTATGACCTTTCTGACCTCAAGCTACCTACCTGTCACAGGCATGTTTTAGTATTCCAGCCAGTGCCCACTACGGTGATAGCCACTGTGCTATTTTTAGTTCTGTATTGTGCAAGAACTCATGTCAGTTTCTGGTGTTCTCCCTCTGTATTAGCTCACCTTACTATTCAAGTTGGTTACACTTATTTTTTAATTAGTTGTGTTAAGTTTTTTTTAAAAAATTAAGATTATGTCACTGTAAGGTCACTGTAAGTAGTTACTTAAAAAAAAACTCTATTTATAAATAAGTGAATAGTGCCAGAAATCTTTTCAAAGGTCATTTTTCCTGAAGTTGTCGAAAGCAATTGCTTTATTACTGCCTTAGCACATTTCCTGCTGACTTAGGTGTAGGATGAATTCTAATTGGTCTTAATAATAAAAACTCGGAGTCAACTATCAGGGAGTGAAAGCTGAAGGATTATGAACAGAGTGGCCAGACACTTGAGAATTCTTACCTCTACCAATGCTCAGACCAAAGGGGTGATCCTGTCCTCAGACTGACTGCTCCTCAGGCTGCACTGCTCTCCTGTCTCCTTCTGCCTTATATTCCTCTCTCCGCCCGGCCATATCACTCCCGTCTCCACCTCTCTGGTGCTGGGATTAAAGGTGTGGGATCCCAAGTGCTGGGATCAACTTTGTATGAGTTCTGTTTCTCTTTTTTTTTTTTTTTTTTTTTTTTTTTTTTTAGTAAATTTTATTAAATTATAAAAGTTTCCATTTCCATCCCCCCTCCCAACACCCTCCCACTCCCCCTACTCCCCCTCCTCCTCCCTCTTCGTCCCACAGGGCAGTCAGGGTTTCCTGCCCTGTGGGAAGTTCCAGTTCCTTCCCCCTCCCTCCAGGTCCAGGAAGGTGAGTGTCCAAACAGACTGGATCCCCAAAATCAGTTCTGTTTCTCTTATAGACAGATTCAATCTTGTGTAGCCCAGGGTGGCCTTAAACTAACATAGATCCATCTGTCCCCCGAGTCCTGAGGTTAAAGGTGTGTGTCACCACTGCCTGCCTCTAGTGGCTTAGCTCTGCATTCTAATCTTCAGGCAAGCTTTATTTGTTAAAACACATACAAAATATCACTACACTTAGGTATGATTATATTATGAATATTCACAGTCTGAATGAATGACTTTGTTTTCCTAAGTGACCTACTAAAGTTACTTCTAGTACATTCAAAAGGAAAATACATTTCTTCTCTTTCTCACATATTTTGAGGCCAGTTTGGTCTACAGAACAAGATACGGGACAGCCAGTGCTTCCCAGAGAAACCCTGTCTCAAAAAACAAACAATCAAAACACATACACACACAAAAAAACAAAAACCCCACAAATATTCCAATTTTTTTCAAAAAAAATCAAGATTTATTAAAATTACCTAATTTTCAGACACTGGAGGAGTATTAAAGTAAATAAAATTAGCCTTGAATAAAGCCTCTCATTGCCTCCATGCTAATGTATAGAAGATAGTCATTATTAACTCTTGGTGCTGGAGTGCTTTGCACACCTGGTACTGTCTTACAAAGGGGAAGTGAGGGAGCGACGCTTACTCTTGTAAAGAAATTAGTTCTGGTGCTGATGCTGTTCTTTAGGAGTGGGTTGGGAATCAGTCACAAAAGCAGATGAAATGTTTCATTTTGAAATGAGTTCGTATTTGTAAACTTTAAGAAGTCACAAAAAATATAAGCACTGATTTTCCTTGAGATTTTTCAGGGAGTCCTTTTTTTACCCTTGCCAACTGACCTTTAAACAATCTCTTTATTACCAGCAATGGTGATGCTTGCATGATCCTAGTATGTGGGAAACTGAGGCAGGAGGTTTTTGAGTCCTATGGCAAGACTGATCATGGGGTAGTCTGTGTCTCATCAATAATAATACAAGTAGGTGAAGATCTCTATGTCTCCCTCCACAGCAATAGTAACCTTTAAAGACCTCGTCTGGCAAGGACAGTGCATCTAACACTCACAGTGCTGGTCTGGTTAGAGTGGCTTTTTGGTAGATAGCTGGGTTTGTTGGTTTTGTTTCGTTTTGTTTTCCTATAGCTGGAGTTTTGATGTTCTTAACATACTGAAATATTTCAGCCAGGTGAAATAATGGATATGACTTGTGGCTTGTGTGTTAGTCTTCCTTTTGATCCTGGGTAATTTTATATTTAAATAAATAGTTTTCCCAACAGTTTTAATGTACACCTTGTGATATGTCTACAGATTTCTATGGGACAGATGTTACAAGATTTTGGGAAATTTCTGGGGATGTTCCTTCTTGTTCTGTTTTCCTTCACAATTGGACTGACACAACTCTACGACAAGGGGTACACTCCCAAAGAGCAGAAGGACTGTGTCGGCATCTTCTGTGAACAACAAAGCAATGACACCTTTCACTCGTGAGTAGCTTCAGATCTTACTAGGTGGACTTTCTGCTACTGAGTTCTGTGTGGGTTAGTCGTTACTCAATAGAGCTTAAATTGATCTTTTTTTTTTTTCCTTTCTTCTGAGACAGGGTTTCTCTGTAGCTTTGGAGCCTGTCCTGGAACTAGCTTTTGTAGACCAGACTGGACTCGAACTCACAGAGATCTGCCTGCTTCTGCCGCCTGAGTGCTGGGATTAAAGGTGTGCGCCACCACCGCCCAGCTACTTAAATTGATCTTTAAAAAATCCTTTTTAAATGTCTGTAAACTAACAAATGCTCATTTTTCATCATCTTTACCTATAGGACCTTCAGTAGTAGATCCAAGTCATTGCATGTGTCTTCTCTACTGAAGTTTGTCTGAACAGAACTCTTGACAAATTTATACTTTTAGCACTTTGGGAAATTTCTTTTATCCATCCCATATATTAGAATGTTCAGCATCTCTGCCCCCAAACTTTTAAATACCTGTAGAAGCTGTTGGTTGCTGTTACAGCCCAGAGCATTCATGGTTTCAACACTTCTTGAGAGGTCACTAGAATTCAGAATCCTTAGAACTTAAGGGCCAGTCCCCCAGTTGATCATAAAGAAGGGTATAGCCACTATAAAGTAAGTAAATAGAATACTTCCCCTCAGGTTCCTTTTCCAGTGCTGAGGATCCAAGCCAGGGTTCTGTATGTGCTAAGCAAGTGCTAACCACCAGAGAGCTACATCCCCAGTCTTACTCTTCTCAGCCTTAAATAAAATACGGATGAGTATGTATTGCATATCTATTGTGTTCATATTGTGTGTCACAATTCTTTAGGTACTTTGTATGTCCTCTCATTTGAAGAATAAGATTTCTAAACAGGTAATAGGGATGATCATATAGAATCTTGCTGTCTGATTTGGGGCTATTGTGATAAAGTCATCTGAAGGTTGAAGCAAAGGACTGACAGAATCTGACTAGATAACCTATGAACTGCTGCATTGAGACTAGAAAGACAGCAAAAAAGAAATAAATAAAAATAAATAAATAAATAAATAGGAATAATATTTTTGAGTGTGTTTTCTCTTTTAAAATAAGACTTTAGGGGCTAGAAAGTTGACTCAGTGGTTAAGAGCACTTACTATTTTTTTCAGAGGACCTGAGTTTTGTTTCCAGTGTCTACCTGATGTCTCACACTGTAACTTCAGTTCTAGGGGATCTGGTGCCTCTTCTGACCTCTGTGACATCATGCATGCATGTGATGTACATACATGCACTCACACACACATAAAACAGAAATAACATTTAAAATATGACCATATATACTGTGGAAGTAAAAATAACACAATAAAATTATTTTATAATGAACTATGCAAAATTATTAATGGTTCATATGTATAATTTTGATATAAATGCATTATCTATTCTTGCTAATTAATTCCTTTTTAAACAGACTGTACTTGCCCTTACAGGTTCATTGGCACCTGCTTTGCTTTGTTCTGGTACATTTTCTCCTTAGCACATGTGGCCATCTTTGTCACGAGGTTTAGCTATGGAGAAGAACTGCAGTCTTTTGTTGGAGCTGTGATTGTTGGAACTTACAACGTCGTGGTTGTGATTGTGCTTACGAAGCTGCTGGTAGCCATGCTTCATAAGAGCTTTCAGTTGATAGCAGTAAGTGCTCTCTCCAAATCACATGAAATGCATGAAATCAAATCAATGAAGATTATAGAGTTAAGGAATTAAATATAGATTTTAAAATATAATGTCTAATAATTGCACATCTTTGGCCAAATTTTTAATCTGTAAGGTGTGGTGACATTTAGACAGTTTTAATCAATATTTTCCCCAACCTGTCCATATGCGTTCATGTTTGTGTTTATGTTCTTCTTCTATCCTGCTTTTTCCTTGCCTCATAGAATCATGAGGATAAAGAATGGAAGTTTGCTCGAGCAAAGCTATGGCTTAGCTACTTTGATGACAAATGTACATTGCCCCCACCTTTCAACATTATTCCTTCACCAAAGACTATCTGCTATATGATCAGTAGCCTCAGTAAGTGGGTTTGCTCTCACACATCGAAAGGCAAGGTCAAGCGGCAAAACAGCTTAAAGGTGAGAAATTAGAAGTCTGAATTGCACCACAGTTTTACAGCTGCTAATTTCACTTTTAATTTTTATCTGTTTTATTTTTTTGAGTTGTAGTCTTACTGACTATATAGCCATGGCTGACATGGAACTTGCTCTGTAGACCAGGCTGGCTTCATATTTGCAGCAATCCTCCTGTCTGCCCACTATAGGCTGGGATAATGGGTATGTGCCACCATGCCCAGTTCAGGTGTTTGTTACAGGATACTTCATCACACTGTGCCCCCGAGAGATTGCCTTATTTACTGGAAAAACCTGTTTCTAATTGTGGTATGGCTCAGACCTGGCATAAACCTTTAATCCAAGAGCTTTCTGCTTAAATAATTGTAAACAGAATTAAATAGTTAACTATAGATCAAGAGGCTGAGCAAGTAGCCAGTTGACAGGAAGTTAACATAGGATTATTAAAAAAAGACTATAGAGAGTAAGAGGGAGTCAGGAGGATAGATGCACAGGAAGTAGAAGGGAGGGGCATTCAGTTTGAGAAATCTTGTTTGAGACAGAGTAGAAGGTGGGAAGCCTTCTGGGATGTCAACTGAGAAAGAAGGTCATCTGAGTACTTTCTCTGCCTCTCTGAGCTCGCAGGTTTTCACCCCAGCATCTGGTTCCTGAGTCTTCTTTCCTTGGTAAAATCAAACAATTGAGATATTGTTAAAAAAAAAAGAAAAAAACAACTAAAAACAAATGTGAAAGTTTGATAAATGTTATCCTCATGAATTTTCCACTGTATCCCTAATGGATGCTGTATCTAATATAAAGATTCAATAAATAATTGAGAATAAGAAATAAAACTAAGGATTTTTGGAGTGGTTTTGGTTCTTTTCTTAGTCTTCAAATTTCCCTAACGTATGAATTCTTATCCCATAGTCTTTCACTATAGATTTAAAGAATAACTATTAATTATTTTTAGGTCTTGAAAGTTACTCAGTGTATTTCTTATCTAGTGCTTACTGCTTGTAAACCAAGGATTGGTAAGTTTCCTAAAGGACCAGAGAGTAAATATTTTACACTTTGCAAGCCAAGCAAAACAAAAACACCATCTAAGAAGTTACGTAAGAGAAAAATTTTCCAAAAACAGATGAAATAAAAATATAACAGTTAAGTAGCAGTCACTGTAATAAGTTACTAGGGAAAACAGATTTCTCTGTGGTAGGGCTAAAATTTTGCTTAATTCAAGTTAAAAATTGAGTTGTCCATCATAAAATTGATTGCAGAATTCATCTTTAAAACCATTCTTGACTCACAAAGTAAGAAAGACAGGAAGTGGGCTATTGACTTAGGGTGGTAATTTGTGAATCTCTGTTGTAGACTGAGCATTACTAAGACTAAATTCTTTTCAATGAAATTGGACTAAAGGAGAGTGAATGGGACCGATACATAGGCTGTATTGTTTTAAACATGTACTGATTATGATTTTTACCAAAGTAAACTGTCCTCTAAATGTGTTGAAAATGTGTATCTGTGAATATATTTAAAGTTTACCTCATTTAAATATTATCTCTGAGGCTGGAGAATGACTTGATTGTAGACATTTGCCTAGCATGCGTGTAGCCCTGGACTCACTCACTCCTCAGTTCTGCAGATACATATGTATTTATGAATGTGTATACATATTTTCTTACATATATATGAATGTACTTACACATACATTGTTATGCAGTCATTGTACCATGTGATTACTTGTTTTGAAGGAGTGGAGAAACTTGAAGCAAAAGAGAGATGAGAACTACCAGAAAGTGATGTGCTGCCTAGTGCACCGTTACCTGACATCTATGCGGCAGAAGATGCAGAGCACAGACCAGGCCACTGTGGAGAACCTCAATGAACTGCGCCAAGATCTGTCAAAATTCCGGAATGAAATAAGAGATTTGCTTGGCTTTCGGACTTCTAAATATGCTATGTTTTATCCAAGAAATTAATCATTTTCTAAATCTTGTAGAAATAATTTTCAATAACAAATCTGAAATACTATTTGCATACCTTACAACTAAAGTAATAAGATATATATAGACATAAACAATTACACAAAAGCCATTCTTTAAATATTTATAGCATAAATATATGTCATGTAAAATATGTATATAGAGTTAGTTTTTTAAAACCTGTCTGTGGCTTTTTGTAGAAGCAAAACACAGTAAGTAAATGGTTTTGTTAGCATGCTATTGGGTTTTCTTAGTTTGTCAGTGCTTAAAATTTGTAATGTTTGAGGGGCAGCTATCAGTGTACACATTGCCCACTCCCTTTTATAAAATGAAAATCAGCAAATGCAGCTACCTTAAGAGACACTTGAAATGTAAAGTTCACGATGTTTAAAATGTCCTGTTTTAGGAGTTCACACAGAGTTCAGTATTTATTGTTTAAGAGTTTAGTTTTGTCTAAAATGTCACATTTTTTCTTTTGCTATAATCTTAAGCAACAAAGAAAAGTCTCTAATGAATATCTGAATTTAAGTCGGGCATGGTGGCACACACCTTTAATCCCAGCACTTGGGAAGCAGAAACTGGCAGATCTTGGAGTTCAAGGATAGCCTGGTCTACAGAGTAGGTTCTAGGACAACTGAGGCTATACAGAAAAATCCTGTCTCAAAAAACAAACAAAAAATTAATTTATTTAGTTCAATCAATCTAAATCCATTTTGTCTTATTGTTTTGTTGTATATTTACTTTTACATGGTTACAATAATTTTATATTTTTAATTTTGTTTCTTGACTTAATATTTTATACATAGTTCTCTGTATTGAGATAGTTCATGTATTTAAATATTTATAGAATTCTGTGATTTTTGAAAAATAGTAGACATCTTTTAGCCATACAATATTTGTTCATATTTATGCATTTGCAAAGTTACTTCTCTAGGCATTTGGTTAGCTTTAACTTTTGCTTCAAACTTTTCAGACTTGAGTAATTACAAAGTATAAGCTGCTTGTCTTCTTGTGTGGTCACAATGGGCATTTCTGCAGAGCTTCTGGGCCTTGAGAAAAGCTGCTTCAAGTTCAAATGAAGGTTCTTGAGCTCTCTTCCCAAGTGTTGACCACAGAGTTTAACACAGCGTTTAGAAAAGTGACTTCATGCTTGCTGCTTGAGCTGTAAAGTATTGTTTTTTTTTAATTTGAAAATAAAACGTGTATCTGACCTCTTTTCGGTGTTCATATGAGGGTGTGGCTGAAGGGTCACCCCAGCTGTTGCACAGACACTCCTGCAGCATGGCCAGTGAGGAATATGCCTTTGCTTTCATAGCTGAGTGTCAGCTGGTGTTGAGGGTACACAGAGTGTAAGCAGCCTTTGCCTACCCTGGGGGCGTCTGAGTAATCTAGTGTTTGATTTCATCTTGCTTTACATTTGTTTTTAATGTTCAAGTTTAAGTCTTCCCTCTTTGGGGCAAATTCTTATAAAAATGTTTATTGTAAAATTATATATTTTGTCTACAATGGAATTATGCACTTCCCTATTGGGATTTTATATCAGGATTTTTAGTCATTCTAAAAAAAATACCTAATTATTAAAAAATTTATAGAGTGCCTACTGTGTGCATGAATTACTGATGAGGTATATTTTGAATGACAGCATATTGTAAGAAAAAAGGTGAATAAAATTTGACACCAGATTATAAATTGATAGAGCATTAGCATTTTACTTATTATTGCTTGCTTTTTTATTTTTTAGTTACTTTATTTTATGTATGTGAATATTTTTGCCTGTGTGTGTGTGTATTTGTTTACCATGCATGTGCTTGGTATTTACAGAAACCAGAAGAAGGTGTTGGATCCCCTGTAACTAGAGTAACAGACAGTTGTGAGTTGCCATGTGGCTGCTGGGAACTGAATTTAGGTCCTTTGGAAGAATGGCCAGTGCTCTTAACCAATGAGCCATCTCTCTAACCTCTCATCTGCTTTTTTAAGTTTGATATACAGGGATAGCAAGATAGCTCAGTGGAGAGAGATGCTTTACCTGATGCTTGCCTGATGACCCGAGTTCAACCCCGCCACCCACAAAGAGGAGAGGCTCCCACAAGTTGTCTCCTCATGCATCTGTGTCACACAGCATCCACATTCATACATACACATAAGAAAAAAAATTTAATTGAGATATAATTCATATGCATCTATAAAATTTAGTACTTTTAAAACTTATGGCCACAAAGGTCTAAAATGCAAAATACCAATATCAAACACGTAGCAACACTTCCCACTTCCATAGCTATTACACTTAACTGTTAGCTTCTTAGCTCTTTCCTAGTATAGCATATTTTAAATTAATATATCCACACAAAGATCTGCATGTGACCATTCATGAGAACTTTCTTCATTGTCCCAAACTGAAAACAACTAAAAGCCTTTCAACTAGTGAATGGGTAAATAAATTGTATATTTACGTAGTATAAATTTAGAATTAAAAGAATGTGTCTAACTCTAGGCAGAGAAACAAAGCTGCTAGAATAGTTACAAGCATATATGTAGTGTGTATGCACGCACACATATTTGCATATCTGGGTCTGACATTGCACTCATTGGATTGCTGACCAGGTTCTGTTGTCTTTGCATCCTGTGTTAGAAGGGCCTGAGGTAGCAGCTCAGAAGGAAAGACAGACACAAAGAGAGCAAAGATGATGGCACCCATGAAGATGCCTGCAGCCACATTCTGTCATATCCTGTGGGGGTGCCCTTGCCTTTTGTCACTTGCCTTTGGAAGGAATCATAGATACTGAAGGAGGAGCAAAGAAAGGTGCTGCTGCCTCACATCATGGAGATGAATGAATCCACACACCACGTGAGTTAGAAAAGTCCTGGCAGAAAGAACAAAAGAACTGCTGTGTCGCTCTTAGGGGAATTCTGGAAAAGGAAATTCGTCCTAGGCAAGTTAACACATAAAACCCCCACAAATAGACTTGGGATACTTGGAGTAACATGGATGAATCTTAAAAAGTAAAAAAAGCTAGTTGAAAAGACTGTAGACAGCACACTCCACCATGTAGCATTAGACAAGAGAAAATGTTAGAAACTGACATCAAATCAATGGCTCACAGGAGCTGCAAAAGAAAATCGACTACACAACTCAGAAAAGTACACTTTTATTTAAAATGGTGGATTCTAAGCTATACCTGGTGGCACAGATCTATAATCCTAATGCTCAGGGTGATGAGGCAGGAGGATTTTAGGGTTCTAAGCCAGCCTTGACAGCAGAGTGTAGAGCAGACTAGCCACAACAACATGGTGAACCCCTGCTTTGCAGTATGAATTTTAATGTGTTAGGATTATCCATGTGTCAACCTGATGAAAAATAAATAGTGCTGTAGTGGATTAAAATCTTACAGTTGGTTTCTGCAGGAGAACTAATCTGCTGTAGAGCAGGAAAGACTTGCTGTTTGGATCCAGCAGCACAGCGGCGAAGAGCACACAGATAATCGCCACATGCACAGTACTGTTCAAAACGAATTTTACTATTAGGTGCTTTGCCTTTTCACACAAGCTGGAATGATCAATTTCTAAACAAAAACCAAGGTGATGTTCTAATTGGAATTACATTAAATCTAGACTAACTTAGAAAGAATTAGAATTTTAGCAGTCTTTCAGTCTACCAACTAACATATCTGTGTCTTTATTCAGGTCTTCTTAGCAATATTTAGTGATTTCTAGCGATATTTTTTAGCAATATTTAGTGATTTCCAGTGGGATTGCATTTTAATAAACATGAAGATCTATTGCCCATGTATTTGGGGAATTGTGTCCCTGTGGGGAGCACTAAGCAGGGCCTCCTGTCCTACAGTTCCAACGACAGACTAGTTTGGCTCCTTCAAGTTCACCCTGGGAAAACTGAGTTTATTAGACTTCCCGACAGAACAATGGATGAAGGTTACAGGCAGGAACATGAATGACCTCAAAGCATCATTACTGGAAATTCTGCACTCAACATGGATGATGACTTCCCTATGATTGCATAGATGGAGCCTATATACTCTAGCCCTTCCTAGAGACCCTGAAGCCAACTGCTGTTAGGGCAGAATTGCGGGACCCTCAGATGAGAGTCCAGTGACCCTCTCCAGCCCCTCCTATGAGGGAATGTCACCAGTCAACAAACCCAGTGTCTGCAACATTGCTGCTCCCATGAAGATCTATACCTTGATCATAATTAGTAATTGGTTCAAATTTCTCTCAGATTACTTTTATTCCTAAAATAGAGGTTGTAATTATTGTTCAGTAGAGGACACATATAACCAATTACTAATCATTGTTAGTCTGATAAAAAGGTAAAACTGGAAATGTGGTTGTTTTTTTTTTTTTGTCTCATCTCTAATGGATGCATACTATCTCTTCCTAGTCAAGGGAATTTTTTTGAGTCCTAAGAATTTTGTGTATTTGTTTGTTTTGAGATGGGTTTTCTCTGTGTAGTCCTATCCCTTCTGGAACTCACTTTGTAGACCTCTGCCTCCTGCATGCTGGGATTAAAGGTGCACACCACAATGCCTGGGGATTCCTAAGACTTACAAATTATTGTTTTCCCTAGTATATTTCTAAAATTCAAAATAGAGATCATGAGCCTTGAGAAGTAAACCAACTAAGCCTAATTCAGAGTTAAACTAACAAGGGCTGAGGAAATGGCTCAATTGGTGAAGTACTTGCTGTGTAAGCCTGAGGTCCTGAGTTCAGTCCTCAGCAGCCACCCAGGTTCAGTGATAGGCAGAGACAGGCGTAGACATAGGCTTGTTGAATGAGTGAGGACCACATTCAGATTTCTCAAGTTAGAGAACTTGGAAGATGGTTCAGTGGGTACAGAACTTGCCATGAAAGCAGAAGGACCTGACTTCAGATCCCCAGTACCCAGATAACAACCAGACATGGTAGTGTAAGCCTGTAACCCCAGCACTTAGGGATTGAAGAATGTGGACCTCAGGGGTTCACTGGACAGTCAGTCTGGCTAAAGTAGTGGTCCAGGCTCAATAAGAGAGCCTGACTCAGAAAATAAGGTAGAGAGTGATAGAGGAAGGTACCATGCATTGACTTCTGTCTACCTTCCACACATGCGTAATACATAATGTATTATTCCACAATACATAATGTATATGTATTGATACACATATACACACATACACTATATACTAATATGTATAATATAGTATATATGCATATAATAAGCACACATGTAATATATGTATATTATGTGTTATTATATATTGTTATATATTCTAATATAATTTAATTTATATCTATTATATATTAGTATATATTAATATACACACACATATATATAATATGTATTATATGTATTAGCAAGTGAACACACCTAATGTCAACCTCTGGCCTCCATATGCATATGCAAACATGAACACATACACAAAGAGAAAAATTACACTTAGAAAATATTAGGGATCATGATTGTTCTGAATTTCTCACTGATAAGTCAATGTTCGCTTTCTGGTATAACACTCTCCCATCATGTGTAAACATACTGTTTCTAGAGGACATTCTTAAAAGATTTTCTCTTTCATTTGATAATTTCACATTATTTATTCTGTTTTTATCTGTATTTGAACATGAACACCAACTACACCAAACA